CACTCTCGGACCCACTCTCGCTCCCATCATCATCATCATCGTCATCATAGGAATCCAAGGCTTCAGCATCGGCTTTGAGCTCCTTAGCCCTTTTTATCTCTTCAGTGAGATCGAACCCTCGAGCATAGATCTCCTCGAGGGTCACCCTCCGAGATTGGCATTTGGTAAGTTCAGCAACCCAATGTGCTCGAGTTTTAGCGGTCTCGACTGCCTCTCTTGCTTGTACCTGAGCAACTTCAGCATCATCTCTATAGACGACCACGAATGCATCTGCATTGGCCATTGCTTTTTCGATGTCAGATTTGGCAAGTTCGGGGGCCAACCGAGCCTCAAGCTCCTCTATTTTTCTTGCTTGAACCGAGCTCCTCTTCTTCATGCTTTGAAGTTAGTTTTCGGCCAATGATAATTGGGCTAGAGTAGTTTCTTTTTCTGCGGCAATACGGTCCATGCCATCTTTCCATCCCAAGGTCTCCGACCTTATCATATCGACCTCCTCACGAAGCTTTCCAATCACCTCAAGCTTCTGCTGCAACTGTGAGATCGAAATATTAGCCACCGTTCCAGAATCGATCCCATGGGTTTTTAAGATTACCATTACCTACTCGGTCAGGTCGGTCTGGTCTTCCCAATCACCTCAAGCTTCTGCTGCAGCTGTGAGATCGAAATATTAGCCACCGTTCCATAATCGATCCCATGGGTTTTTAAGATTACCATTACCTACTCGGTCAAGTCGGTCTGGTCTTGTTGAGCCTTGGCCAATTCAGCTCGGAGGTCCTTGATTTCTTCTTCCCTTTGTCCGAAGAGGAGTCTAAGGGTGTTCCTTTCCTCCGTGACCCGTCGGAGTTCGGCCTCGTACCGACACAGCTCAGCTCGAGACCGAGAACATGCTTCTCGATAAACCGCTGTGGCCTACGAAGAAAGAAGAAAATAAGTTAGAAAAGAATAGCAAACGTGAAAGTGGTATCAACGAAGGGAGTTAGAGCTTACCCGATTCAAAGCTTGTTGCACTTCACAGAAAAGGCCTGACATATCGCTAGGGCCAGCAACATCCACGACACCAGTAAACAAATCACGGAAGGGGTCTTCCCCTTCTTGAGACCGGTGTACCTCGAGGGCCCCCAAAGCTTGGGCTTCTCGAATCGCCCCTTCGGAAAAAGTAGGGAGAGTGGGCAAGTCTCCGATTACTATTGCCCCAAGTAACTCGCTTGGGGCGTTCTCCTCAGTTTGGAGAGCTTCAGGGCTGGCCTCTTCAGATATACCCACCGTTTGTTGACTTCGGTGGGAAGCATCCTCTATCTCTAATGATTCGGGGACTCTGCCCGAATATTTCTCCGATATCCCCTCAGTTCGAGGCGGAGCTTCATAAACCACCATCGATCCAGCTGCCTTTGGAGCATCGATGGTTTTCTTCACTCGGGCCACCAGTACGAACCCGTCAACTTCTTTTTCTTCTTCATCTTCATCCCTTAAACACCGAACGAATTCTTCGGTCAGAGGGATAATTTTCCTCATCGGCCTATGAGTTGTCCTTCTCTTGGGTTCTGGATCCTCGGAAGTGGAGGCCCGTTTTCTCTTATTGTCCTTGTCGGTTTCGGAGCCGGGGCCGAAGTCTCTTCCTTACCGGACGGGGCCTCATAACCGCATCTTTGCCCAAGCCTACACACAAGAAAATTAGTTAAGTATATGGAAAACATTCTATTCGAACCAACAAAGGCATGAAAAAAAGGCTTACCATGATTTTTTACCTCCCATCGGCCGATCACGCCACGAGCGCTCGACGTATACAGAAGTCGAAGCCAGGGCATGTACCCAGCTCTTAAGGTCGGGAACAACATCGGGCATCCAAGCAACCGCTATATCACAAAAAAAAAATCGGTGAGAAAGAGACAAAGGAACAAAGAAATAAGAGCTAACATTCGAAATATACTTACGATTCATGTTCCACTCCTCAGGGAATGGCATCTGCTCGGTCGGGATCAGATCGGAGGTCTTCACCTGAACGAACCTGCCCATCCAACCCCGATCCTTGTCCTCGTCTATGGTCGAGAAGAGCACTTTGTTAGCCCGGCGCAGGAGTTTTATTAGCCCACCTCGATAGAGGCGGGGGCTGTACAATCTGATAAGGTGGTCGAGGGTGAAAGGCATCCCCTCGATCCTGTTCACAAAAAAGCGGATCAGAATAACGATCCACCAAAAGGAAGGATAGATTTGGCCTAGGGTTATTTGGTATTGGCAGCAAAAATCGATAACGACAGGGTCGGGGGGGCCCAATGTGAAAGGGTAAGTATACACACTTAAAAACCCTTTCACATAAATAGTAATATCTTCTTCGGGAGCCGGGATTATCACTTCTATTTTCTCCCAGTTACAATCTTTTCTCAGCTGCTCGTGGTGTCCCTTAGTTATCGAGCACATATACCTCGATACTGGTTCGCATCGACCAGGAACCGACGAGGCTTTATCAACCTTAAAATCGGAGGTAAGAACACACACCCCGAGAACACACTCCCCAGGTCGTGGTTCCACCGGTGTTTTGACGGCGGCAGACTGTGAAGAAGAAGCTTTTTCTTTGTGAGGAACGATTTTTGATGTTTTCGCCATTTTGGATTTAAAAATCAAAAAAAGAAGGAGATAACAAAGATCTGATGTTTTAAAGAAAGATTTTGCAGTAAAAATCACAAAAGAAAGATTTTACAGTGAAAAATAACAGATTTACAGATGAACTCAGAAGATGCAAGAAAAAACTTTAGAGAATTTGGAGATTGGAGATGTAAAAGTGATAAATGGTAAAGAAAGGGGCTATTTATAGATTTAGCAACATCGGTTCAGTATCAACAGTGGTCGACTATCGTCTGACACGCATTAAATGACTTGGAAAACTAAACCGACGGGACAGCTCTCACGTGCGTCATGATCGAGCCCGACGCAAACATCAGCGTATATCTAATCAAGCCGTTGGGAAATCATATCGTTTCTCGCCACATCCTTCCTGAGAAATGAGGGGACCATCTGTATACGGTCAAAACCGTTTTCAACTTTCGTACGATTGGTGAAGATGGACCGAAGAGCATCTTCATAATATAGAGGTGAGATTTGAACAAGGCACGAACAAGCTTCAAGTTTCGGAGTCAGATTAAATACCGAGCTCGACGCCATTATCGAGCTCGAGTCCAAATCAAACTATACTGAAAAGCGACGGAATCGAGCTTAAGAGCCAGAGGCCAACCAATACCGAATTCAAGTCAATACCGGACCCCAAGTCGGCATCGAGCTCTAAAACTAATGTCGACCAATACCGAGTCCGATCAAGATCGAGCTCATATACAAGAATCGTTACAGCCGCACTAAAGGAGAGAATCTCAACGAGAATTAGGGAAAAACTGATTTATCACTATGTATTTTCAATTATATCTAAAGTGGGATCGCCCCACTATAAAAGGGATGGCTATATTTTTGTAAATGATGAAGTTTGGCATACATTGTAACTCAGATATCATTCACTCCCATATTGAAGAATTATCCTTTTTTTAGCTTCATAGATTGATTCATCTTGCTTAATCCATAAATCATCATCTTTTCAACTTTGCTTATTTTTATTCTTTCGATATTTCTATTTACTCTTACGATTTGTATCAAGTTATACCACATACCCTTAGAACTATGTACAAATTCAACTCTATTCGTTTTTCGGGTAAACACTTATTTTTTTGTTTTTTACCCGCTAAACCATATACTTGAGCCAAGTCATGCTCTCTAATGTGCATTTTACCAAATAACATGTTCTTCAAGGACCTATACAACTTGTTAGACTATGTTGAATTGCTGAATTTGTCGATACATAGTTCCTACAAAACCTGCAGTAGCATAAAAAAAATATTAAGTTTGCAGGAGTGAACAATTCAAAATTTTGGCATTGCTAAAACCCAAATTACATAAAAGAAGTTATGCACTATCACATCATTGCTAAAACTCAAATTACATAAAAGATGCAAAAGGAGGACCAGACAGCAGCCTAATAGAAAAACGTACAGGCCAAGATGGAAACTTTACCACGCCATATAAAAAGAACATAAAACTTTGCAAGGTTCATCTCAAACTTGTTAAGTTTCGACCTCGAGAAATAGTTGTGCAGCTTGTAATTAAGTCACCAATGTCATAGGTGAGATGATCATGATCTATTGTGAATTTTCCTAAAACATCAAAAAGATCGCGGTCTTTCCCTGGACCCTGCATAAACGCGGGATGCTTCGTGCATCGGACTGCCATTTATCTTATTACTACCAAAATTCATCAAGGTATAGCGTAATGAGAGTTTTTATATAGTAAGCATAAATGGAGCCACAACAAACAAATCAGTGATTTCATCAATTTTTACTCAATATAAAAGCTCTCTTGCTTTTCATTGTCAAAATTCATGCAAGTTTGCAAACCATAATGCATTAAATATTTGAATCTTCTAAATGTATTTATGTTTAACCTCACTATTACACGTGGTTATGAGCATTATTCACATGTTAATTAGTCTCTTGATGTCAAGTGACAGGAAATACTTACAAGGTAAGAATTATGCACAAGAGGAATATAGGCAAATACTACTCAAAAAAAAAAAACATCAGGGTAATCTATATGATATTAATTGTTACCTATCATGACTGGCATTTTTAAACATGGTCAAAAAATTAGGGATTATGACAATAAATCAGCTTCAGCAATTAAACAGAAGGCTAAAGATATCACTTAAGTTCAACAAATGTTATCTCAACGAGAAATAGTTAACAAAACACATATTTCTCCCATCAATATAATCTTTCAACAGAAGTAGGTTTCAAGGGGTTAACTAACATTGCAAGGTTGAGATCAATAAGTTTCAAGGAAGACTAACTTGAGTCTCTGAATAGTAAGAAATCTTTATAGTGACATTTTCTCTATGTGAGACAAGTTAAAAAGCTGACACAACTATGAAAAAAGGGCTACCTCTGTCAGTGTTCTTCCTCAGTAGTCTCCTGAACCTCCCCAACAGGCTCTTCCCCTGCAGTTATCTCAAGATCTAGCACGTCTTTCAGCGCCATAGAGAGGACTGGGAGATTCTTCTCAAGAATCGATATGAGTCCCTTTCTAGCTAGTTGCCTTTGATAGGCCAGTTTTTCTCTTATCAAGACCCTAGCTTGTTTCTCCATGTCCGCTTTTGCCTTCAAAATAGCTGATGTGAAACAGAATTCTGAATCTTTTTGGGATTTCGAAATTTCATCTCGGATATTATCCCACAGTAGTTTCTGTCCCAACATCACCATGAAGGTGGGTATCTGAAACAGACAAAAGAAAATACATTAACATTTGAAAATACATTTGATAACTGAATGTATACTAGCCACTGAAACTAACCAAGACTACAGCAACATTTTTCAAGGTGATGGTAGTTTTTGCAGCCACCGTATAGATAGGGATCGGTTTCACTGGCTTCTTATATCGCCAAGTCTTAAATTTCGCGTCTTTCTCCTATACAAATTTCCCAAAGCGAAGCATTATGGGGTGAGTTTTTCCCGTCTTTTCAAATTTGTCAGCCAACTTACCCAGAATAAACTACAAAACAGGGTTGTAAGGCATTGTAGTGTTTGAGATTGGAAGTTGGGTTGCTGTACTGTTTGAGACTGTAAGTTGGGCCGCCGGAAGTTGGGTTGCTGGAACCCTAGTGGAGAAGCGCACCAAGATAAAATGACATTCGCGTATTTGATATATCAAAATGGGGTCTGAGGGTCTCGGGTCAGATACCGGCCACTATTTAAAATATGACCAGCATTTGTATTGCGAAATAGTGCAAATGATTTGGCTTCCTTACTTTTGTTTGAGAGAACGTGGAAAGTGGACTTCGCAATAGACTAGAGACATTATGTAGATTTGTTTTCGGCCAAATATCACTTTTAGCTCGCGACCGAAATTATTTATATTCTGTAGTTATAAAAATATATAAAATTTATATATTTTTATATATAACATACATAAATATATATATATATATATATATATATATATATATATATATATATATATTTTTCGACTATTATGTTCAAATCGGTTATACAATGTCATTTTCCCTTTATTCTTTCCTTTTATTCATGCATATTTCTTTTCCTTTTTTATCTTATATATCATATTTCTTATATCTTTCACATATTTCTATATACTAGTCTTAGGATACACGCGTTCCGCATGTAACCCATCTCAACGAGTATAATATTTTAAAAATTATAATGTGTATGTGATGACCCAAAATATCATCTTTAAATTTAATAATTTTTTCTGTGCTCTGAGACCTCAAATAGCACCATTCAACTTTCTTCGACTTGCGTGCGCAGTCCGTAAATTTTTTCAAAAAGTTTTTATGTGAAAAATTAATTAAAATATAAAATAGAGCTTTAAAACTCAATTGGGTTAACTTTGGTCAATATATTTAGCAAACAGACCCGAGTTAGTGTTCTGACAGTTTCGATAGGTCTGTATCGTGATTTGGGACTTGGGCGTATGCCCGGAATCGTCTCTAGCTCGAATTATCGCATGTTGTCAAAATTTTGAAGTTTAAAGGCTTAATGACTTTAAAGAATTAGACCAATATTTGACTTTATAGATACTGGGTCTGTATTTTGATTCTGGAACCCGGTATAGCTCCATTACTATATTTATGACTTATCTGTCAAATTTGGTGAGAAACGGAGTTGGTTTGATGTGATTCAGACGTCCGGTTGTTAAAATAGAAATTCTAAAGTTTTCTTAAAAATCTCATTTGATTTGGCGTCTGATTCATAGTTCTAGGTGTTAAATTGGTGTTTTGATCGCGCGAGCGAGTTTGTATGAGGTTTTTGGACTTGTGTGCATGTTTGGTTTGGAGCCCCGAGGGCTTGGGTGAGTTTCGGACGAGCTTCGGACCATTTTTGTTCAAGAAAACATAGCTGGAATTCTGGTGCTTCACAGTACTGGTTTCTTTCTATGCGATCGCGTGACTATGTCCGCGATCGCGAAGGCTTAATGTCATTGATGAAAATTTAAACTATGCGATCGCATAGTAACGTCCGCGATCACACAGTGACAGCAGACAAAGCACTGCGAACGTGAGGGCCAAGCCGCGTTCGCGTAGAAGGAATGAGGCAGAAACTGAACCACAAAATTTTTACTACGCGATCGCGGAAGGCTAAGAAATTGTACTTCGCGTTCACATAGAGAAAAAAGTTGGGCAGCCAAAAATATGCTTCTCGATCGCATAAGGTAAAATCTAGGCAAACAGAACTTAAATTCTGAAAATGGGATTTCGTCCCATTTTCAATTTTGAGCTCAGGTAAGACGAGTTTTTGGCAATTTTTACGAGAAAATATTGGGGTAAGTGTTCCTTATCCTATATTGATTATATTTCATGATTCCATACTCATTTACATCATGAATCTGTGAATTTATGGAGGAAAAATCAGATTTTTATAAAATCTTCCAAAAATATAAAATTAAGATTTGAAGGTCAATCTGATGTCGGAATTCGATAATTTTGTATGGTTGAAATCGTATCGCAATGGGTGTTTGGTTTTCGTAAGTTTTTTTCGAGATTCGAGTCGTGGGTCTCACAGTCAATTTTTAAAATGAATTTCGGATTTTAATCTGAAAAATTAGTAAATTCATATGGAATTAATTCCTACGATTTGTATTGAATATATTGAATTATTTATGACTATATTTGAGGATTTCAGACACTAATTCGTGAGGCAAGGGTGTATTGAAAACTTGAATTTAGTTACAAAGCGAGGTAAGTGTCGTAGTTAACCTTGACTTGAGGGAGTAAGACTTATTTATCTATTTGCTACGTGATTTAATCTGCGGGTACAACGTATATGTGAGGTAACGAGTACTTATGTGTTGTGATTGAGTCAAAGCATGCGGGTGGAATTTGTTTATTGTGAATAATTACCTATTTGATTAAGATATTCCTGTTTAAGTTTATTATCGTTTATTTGATCATTATTCGTTAAATTTTTATTCATTTAATTATTGTTGAATATTGTGGAAGGTGAAGTCGGTATTCTGGTATTAAATTGATTGATATGTGTATATTCTCGCATTTAAATACTCTTCCGAATTTATATTATTAATTTCATGGTAAGGAAGAGTGTAAAAACACGAAGAGTGATGCTGTGTCATTTTTATTATTTGTAATATCATTATCATGGTAAGAAAGAGTGTAAAAGCACGAAGGGTGTTGTCGTACCATTTGTGAGTGTAAAAGCACGAAGGGTGATACCGTGTCATTTTCAGAGAGTGTAAAAGCACGAAGGGTGATGCCGTGCCAAAAGAGAGTTAAAGCACGAAGGGTGATGTCGTGTCAATTATTATTATTATTTAATTATCAGTTTATGAGAGGAATGAGAGTAAACGCACGAAGGGTGGTGCCGTGCCATTTTCATATTATCAGTTGCTCATTTTATTGTTGAGGAATTAATTGGTTGTTAAGTGATAATTCTCCTGCTGAAATTTTTATATCACCCCCTTCGCATATTCTCTCCCAAATTTATAAACTCTTATTTACTGTTTTATTGTTGCTTCACATTTGTATATACATGTATAGATTGTTTACGTGTCCTGTCATAGTCTCGTCACTACTTCGTCGAGATTAGGCTCGACACTTACGGAGTACATGGGGTCAGTTGTACTCGTACTACACTCTGCACTTCTTGTGCAGATTTTGGAGTTGGTCCCAACGGCGTACCATAGACGTGCTCGAATTCAGCTACTCAGAGGAGACTTGAGGTATAACTGCACAACGTTCGCAGTTCTGAAGTCCCCTTCTATCTTATCTTAGTTGTGTATTATCTTTCAAACGGCTTGAATTTTATTCAGACCTTTATTTGTATTATTCTAGTAGCTCGTGCACTTGTGACATCAGATTCGGGGATGTATTTTGATAATTCGGTATTTATGATCTTTCGCACTTTATTTCAGTAATTGACTTCTATTTAATTTAATTTGCTTAAAAATAGTTAAGATTATTTTAAACTTCAGCTTGCCTAGCAAATGAAATGTTAGGCGTTATCATGATCCTGAATGTGAGAATTTCGGATCGTGACAGTGTATGAGTTTATAAACTATATATTAAGCAAGTATAAATTTCTGAAAATGATGAATATTGATCTTATTTTACTAGATCAAAAAAATTTAGTATCTCTTTGATATTGTGATAAAGCCCAACCACATCCCCCGTAAAAGTTTCTTTCATTGTCTTTGTACTATATCATGATAGAATTTATTAATTAATATACGAAAGTAGAATGCTTAAATAAAATTTTAATAATATAATGCGTAGTAATTAAAAAATCTAAACAAGGTTGAGATTTTTTCCGGCAGCAACCTCTTATTATTTCAAGCCTTAGAATTGGTTTAAGTCAAGGCAAGATGCATTTCATTCAATATGTCGAGAATTTCAACAGAGAATTAGTTTCAAATATATGATTGATCAACATACTTTACTTCTATGGAAAACAAGTGAAAAATAACCTGAGGTACCAACTAATCATGAACCTTAAAACTTGTGTTGTAAGATGACTTCAGATGCCTCAAACATTTCTTTTCTTTAATAAGGTATGAAAATTCAAAAGTCTCAAATGTCGAGATAAAAGAATTACAAAAGTTTAAAGCGGGCTGGGTAAATCCAAAAAATGAAGTATTTTAAATTTTTAATCAGAGAAATCAATCATCCATGTCACACGACATATGCTTGAATTCAGGAAAGTTTCAATGTGAAACATTGAATAGTGACAACTGGCAAATCAACAATGATAAACACTCAAAGTACACTAGCATTTCAACAATGTTCGAAAGTTGTGATGCTTGGGAGGAAACAATCTTACGTTGGTTAACATTTGATATTTGGGAGGAAATGGTCTTGAGTTGTTTAGCATCCAAGGCGAAAACCTTTCCTTTTCTCAACAAGCCAATCTCCTTTAGTAGTGTACCAATCACTATATATTCATACAAAGTCCTGCACATATCAACAATGTATATCATTCAAATATTAAAAAATTTCAAAGGACTTTAGTAAGTCTATAAGCCTTCCTTGAATAATAGCTTACCATCCCGTGGAAAAAACATTAAAGACAATAAAAAGTAAAAATGCGAATTAGAGGCTCAATTTGTGCTACCGGTATGTTTCAGAATATACCCAACAACTGAATCCCACTAAAAAGATTAATAACCCGATAAATATTTAGCAGGTTCAAAATTACACAATTGGTAGATACCTCTTCAAGTTTTTAAGACAAATCTTGCGCCATAAACCAAAGGTTTTCTAGCCAATAATCCCAAGGATCTGAGTCACAATTGATAAAACCAGGAAGTGATTTTCATATGGTCCCTAAAGGTATTTAGAGCATCACTTGCGTACACTCCATTTTAATACTGGTATCTAATGCCGATTCCTTGAATTAGCATTTTACCAATACAAAATCTCCACACCATAAATAAATTTCCTCAAAAAGAAAAAAGCATGGAGAAGAGAGGAAAAAAGAAATTCCAGCAAGAACAATATAATTACAAATAATTTCCAACATCCTCCTTCATTTCACGATACCAATCTTGGAAAATATTATTGTGATGACCCAAAAATGTCATCTTTAATTTAAACATTCATTTCTGTATTTTATGAAGATGTTGGGAGCTTACCTGCTATGAGTTATGTATTACCTGAATAGTTGATGTTAATGTCGTTCATTTTCTAGAAATATA